CCCCAAAACCCCAAAACCCCAAAACCCCATAGGGATAATAACAATAAATTTAAAACTAGAAAATATAAATTTGACTATATGCAAAAATAGAAATTAAGATTATTAGTTTAAAAATTGAAGTTTTTTATGTTCAATTTAGATTAGTAATTAAATTTGAGAATAAAGATTTTGAAAATTATAGGTTGAGAATAGATAATGTTCAAATGTTATGAATCAATAATCTTTAGATGGCTTCACTTTTTAAATGATATCTAAGTGAAGGGGATGACTAAGATCACTGTTGGGAAATGCTTTCTCTTAGTTGTCTAAGAAGATCTTTAGTCTTAGGACTGTTTGATCTTTGCTTATCTTATTTTGAAGCTTCATCTCTGAAATCTGTAGGTGGGGGTGCTCTGTGATCACTGGGGTCAGAACCGGCATCTTCGTCTAAATTACCTTCATCATCAGCTGCATCATCTAATTAGTTATCAAGTTTACTTGTTTTTGGACCCTTGGTTGAGTTACTTGCATCAGTGTCATTGTGAGTCTCATTTGATAATGATGAGTTGTCTCTAGACTTTGTAGCATTTGAATCACGATTTGGTCCATTTAATTTTCTACCTCCCTTGCCTTTTCCACCTGCTGGCTTTGATCCATTATTTTTTCCGTTTGTAGCGTTAGTGCAGTTGGTAAGGTTAAGATCGGTATGGTTATGAGTACCATTTATGGTATCATTTCTCAAGTGAAGCATTCTTGGCTTTCCACCTGGGCCTGGTGATTTAGTGCCATTCTTATCAGTATTATTCGTGCGATTTTCAGGATGAAGTGGAGTAGAGTTAGTAGTGGAGACATTATTGCAAGGTGGAAATTTAGTTCCATTAGTGTCATTATGAGTGTTGTTTGCTGGAAGAACCCCTGTATTATTTTTTTTGTCGTTAACAGGCTTTTTCTTACCAAATAGAGTGTCAAAAATACCAAGGTCTCTTGGAGCAGGTCTTCCAGTTGAGTTTTATGATTCATTTCTCCTAGATGGAAGACTACCAGTAGTATTATTAATATTTGGAGCTTATCTTTCTGGATGAGTACCGTTTTTACCAGCAAATGGCTAACTTGAAGTATGATTGCCACCTCTTTGCTAAGCTTGTGCTCCCATTGCTAAGAGAAAGACTACTGCTAGTCCTAAAGTGATGATATTGAATTGACGCTTCATTGCAAGAATGCTTGGCTGCTTGTTTATATATTAAATTATTATGTTAAAGATTGAGGCCTATTTATAGTAAAAGATTATTAATTAAGATCTGATGCAATATGTGAATTAAAAAAATAAATACAAAATTCTATTATTCTAGTACGATAATTATTAATCCATTTCCCGATCTTATGTCTTTAAATCATCCTTTTGGGGTTTTGGGGTTTTGGGGTTTTGGGGTTTTGGGGTTTTGGGG